AGGTGAGCACTGTTCGGCGCTTGGATAAAATATCGAAATACATCTTTGGCTTTTTTTTAGAGCTATCACCTACTATTTTGTAACAACAATATCGGCAGTTATTTTGGGCATATGTCTAGTCACAACCATACGACCCGGCCAGGGTGCCAAAATTGTGGAGACTCGCACTGAGACTATTGATAAAGCATCAAAGGTGTTGACACCAGACACTTTAATGGACTTAGTGAGGTACGTTTTGTGCAGTTTATCCTACGATAATTTTTTAATTTTTTATTCTCTTCTCATTCTATTAGAAATATGTTCACGGACAACATAATACAGTCAACAATGTTTCAGGTATGTTATGGGAACAAGCTCAATTTAATTAGATTACAAGCTACACATTTCTTCTTTTCATTGTGGCAGAGATGGCATGGCTTTATAATATGCTAAAATTTTGATGATATAACAGCAATAATATTTGTGTAATAAAAGCTTGTTAAACTCTATGGGGTTTGTTGTGCTAATCAGCATCAAGAATTTGTATCTACTGCATCGCTTTTCTATTCCCCCAAATATAGTTTAAGAGTGAGAACAGCTTTTAAAATACCACGATGCATAATTTTTATACTTTTAATTAGCATATAAAATATTCAGAACTGTTAGACTATCAGCCGAGTCTCTTTTCAGTTTCATATACGTGCCGCAATCCATTAACTCAGAGACTTAAACGAAATTTCAACCACTGTTAAAGATAAGAAAGCTATAAAGAAGCGATATTGCTTACGTTATGCATATCATACTGGAAGCGTTACAATTTTATCGGCCGCGATATTCAGTTTGTGCCGAGCAGGTATTTAGATATATCTTTGCTGGATTTTTGTCAGAATACGCATTCGCTCAATTCTTGATTGCAACTGTGCCAATTATTCAATTGTGTTCTGTTGTTTACATAATTTGATTAAAGCACAACGCGGCACATAATCAAAACTGACATGATAGGTTACTCCAAAGCAAAGTTCTTTCCGTTTCAATTGAAATTGAAAATTATAGGGGGGGGGGGCACAGACATACATACATATCTATGTCTGTATTTTCTGTACGCGTATGTATAAAAAATACATATCTAATTTACGTACACGTTGAATTTTCAATTATCACCACAGACGCAGTCTCAACTACGAAATTTGCTATATATGGGCATATATGATATGTCTGATATATATATATATATATATATAATCAAACGCGAATTGAATGAAAGTATTCCCCTCGGATGTGTGTTTGTGTGTAAGCGTTTCTTTTATAGGTAAATATGAATGCATATTCATTTGCGCAATTAGATTATTGTCGTTTTTATTTTTGATCGTGCATATGAAATTGAATGTACTATGCTCTTCCACATTTTCTACTGGTAAGCTACATTTCATTACAAGATTTGTAAAACCTAGATCTTTTGTATATGAATTATACCCAAAAAGACTGAGAAGACACTGAAACCTTGAGTGATATTTTATTTATGGAATAATGAGAGTTTAGAGAAGGAAAGGGAATATGCGAAGAATAGACAAAAATAGATTTAATTTGGTTGAGGGGTTTTGAATAACTTGCTTTAAAATTTATTTACAACTCTAATCTTCCAGCATCGTACGGAAATATTCGAGAATACCAGCATTTCCCCAGCACGTTAGTAAACACACTATGTCAGCCAATCGACTATATCACTAAACTCTCATTCTTATAGAACCCATGGAGAACTGGGAGTTCAAGTCGGCGCAGCGTGAGGGTTCCAATGTACTGGGTCTGGTCATGTTCAGCGTAATACTGGGCACAACAATCGGTCGTATGCGTGAGAAGGGCCAACTGCTGCAGGACTTTTTTACAACGCTCAGTGAAGCTATGATGACAATAACATCATGGGTTATTTGGTGAGTGTGCAAAAATATAGGTCGATTCTTGAGGATCTGGCTAAAGTGAATCGACGATTTTTGCAGGATATCACCGCTGGGCGTTGCCTTTTTAATAGCAGCCAAAATCATTGAGATGGACTCTATAGCGGCAACAATACAATCTTTGGGATGGTATTTCATAACCGTTATGATAGGCCTCTTTCTGCACGGCTTTGGTAAGCGGCTCCGTTTAGATTACATCTTTTTTGAATAATGATTTTAAATTTTGTATATATAGGTACCATTGCGGTCATATTCTTTTTGGGTACACGACGCCTGCCGTATCGTTACATAGCCAAATTGAGTCAAGTGTTGGCTACTGCCTTTGGCACGGGCTCCAGCTCGGCCACCATGCCGTTGACTATTAAATGCCTCGATAATATGGGCATAGACCCACGTGTTACCCGCTTTGTCATACCTGTTGGCGCAACGATCAACATGGACGGCACCGCCTTATATGAGGCGGTGGCAGCTCTATTCATTGCCCAGTACCGAGAGATGAGCTACTCATTTGGCACCATTGTGGCGGTCAGCATAACGGCGACTGCTGCTTCAATTGGTGCAGCAGGCATACCACAAGCGGGCCTAGTTACCATGGTCATGGTACTCGACACTGTCGGCCTGGAGCCTAAGGATGTCTCGCTAATTATCGCTGTCGACTGGCTGCTGTATGTAAATGCTAGAACTTTATGTTTGGTCCTGGATATACATTTTCTGTTCGATTAATTTTTAGTGATCGTTTCCGCACCACTATCAATGTCATGTGCGATGCTCTTGGTACAATTTTGGTTAATCATTTGTCGAAGAACGATTTGGCAAGCGTTGATCGGGTAAGTTCATATGCCTACACATAAAATTTTTATTATAAATCGATTATATATATAAATATATATAAATATATTATGTACATATACGTATGTATAGCTAAATGCCGAGCCCCATGAGCTGCTCGAACTGGGCACAAATGGACATGAAATGAAAGAATGAAGGCAGTCTTCGCTTGGCGCCTATAATCGCAAACGATGAGTGTTTGAGGACGAGCACGAGCACGATACCGAGAGCGAGGATGGAATGGAGCATAATGATTTGATGTACTCTCGTTATCGTCGGCTTGCCTCATCATTTGTTTTGCGGCTAAAAGCGGCCAAGACGCACACAATGTCAAGCAATTTGGAACAGTTGTAAAAGCTGTCACAAAACATCAATGAATTTATTTGAAACGATTGTCTGCAATTAAAGACACTCAAAAGATCAATAAGAAACAGGAAAATAAAAACAAACAAATTTGGATATTATTCCATTCAACGTATTAATTAGCATACATCATGATGTAAATAATTATGAATATAATTAAATTGAATTGAGTTCAAATTTAAATTACTTTTTCATACTTAGTATTAAAAGAAGAGCAGATAAAACTTGTTACAAACGCCTATGAAACGCAAATATATAGTTCTTGCAATTAACCCATAATTATAAAATAGTACATTTCAAACCGAAAGTAGAGATTGTTATATTCCACTCGATGAAAAGCTTCACAAAATATAAAGTAAATGAAAAAATCAATAATTTGTATGAGCAACAAACTTTGTTCAAAAGTTTTGTGTTACAATATTTGAACAAAGAACAAATACAAAACAAAAAAAAAAAGACAAATATAAATATTTAACTTAGTTCGCTCAAATATACACAAATATTCAATGCCGTTAAAAGTTCTTGTTCGGAGTTGAGCTTTGTAAATACTTAATAGCTTAAGTATAATTAAAAATATTAAAGACACACAAAAAAAAAAAACAAACAAAGTAAACAATTTCCAATCACCAAGCGATGAATATTCAATGACAATAATAATACGCTGCGAAAGCTCCAATTAAATGCAGCGAATAAATCAGCAAATGCGTTATAATGCTAAAAATTACAAAATATTAAACGATAGTAATATTATTTATTACACGCTATTAATAAAATTAAGTTAATGAATTTCAGAAAATTACAACCAATTGACAATTCTATTCTAAGGTTTGCCAAAGAAAAAAAAAACAATTTAATCAAATAATCTTTATGTATGAATACATATGCCATTTGTAGTTTTGTGTAGCCTAAATGTTTACAAATAAAATTTTCGAATCTGTACATGTACTTATATAAAATTGAAATTAACCTTATCAAATTTAAATATCCCTTGAAGGATATTAATAAATTGTTGCCATATCATTTCTATACCAAAAACATTAACAAAAAATCTTGCATAAATTCCATTTAACAACATCAATCATTACCTCTACTTTAAGCTTGCCATTAGTAGTTTATTTTATCAATATTAGGGTTCAAATTCATAATACACACATACATACTAAATACTCATTGATATAATTATATAGCAACTTAGTCAACCGCTGAATCTTTCTTAAATCATCGTCAGTATCATAAAATACACAGATTATATATCGACATACCTAATTGTTATCAGGTATTAAGAGTCTATCGTTCTGATGTATGCTGATGTTTGTCTGCACATTTAATTTTGTGGGTTCATGTGAACTTTTGAAGATTTTTGTGCAGGTTCCACAATAACCGTCCTGGGCTAGATATACGATACCTGCCCCTTTTAACCTAAGTTGCGGATGGTCGCTAAAAACATGTTTTCATTAGCTTTTAATGCAGAGCTTTGAAACCTGTCGTACAAAATATAAGCCTTCGTTCAAGTTTGGAACACCTCGCAAAGAAATTTGAACAAAGATCTTTGAAAATTAGTGCAAAATTTGGGCTGATCGGACAGTTCACAAAAAGTTTCATGCAGTCAGAATTTCCCGAAACCGCGAATTAGCGTTCTCCTCCATCAACTAAGGTGAAACCGCGTGAAAATCACCAAACAGTCAGCCATTCAGGACGAAGAGTTTTATATATTGAGTTAATTTTCCATATTTCTATCTATAGTTTTTATGTCTGAATGAAATAATATTGCCATTTTCTTTTAGTAAATAGTCACATGTGAATGCAAATTAATTATGATTTTTTTTATGTTTTTTATTATGATTTAACTTCTCGTTTCTGTTGTACATATAATATACATTTTGTTAAATATTTTCGAAGATTTTTCTAGTCTTAAATTTCATTGGCTTTCGTTCACTTTTCGATAAATTTCTTTTGAATGCATTAGAATTGACTCTGTAGAATGTCATGTACTGCACTTTTCCAAACTGTTTCAGTATAGTTCAATACAGTTGTCGAATGACCGTCTGTATGCATCGATAAGCTGTGATTGTGAATACATTACACATGCACAACGCACATGATGAATCGATTGCAATATTCTATGAATAAATCTGCATCACGCTTGCTTTTCCTTGAGTGCGTTTCCATCTGGGTTATTAGCATCGGCGCAGGGACAGTAGGCATTCTGCCCGCCGTCACAAACGATAACAGGTGGCGGCTTATACGGTATTCCCGTACAGGTCGGGCAGTTGTATCCATCTCTATCAAGGAACATAACTCCAGCCGCCCCCACGTGGCTATGTACCCTGTACAAGCATAGCAGTCGATGGGCAACAAACAAGAGGGGTAGAAAAAGCAAGGCGCAAATCAATAAGCCCAACCAGAATCCGTTCTACAATTGAAGGAATATTGCCATACATAATTTCATGATATTTTTGTAGAGCTACTTACAATGGGATCGACCAAACGCTCGCAAACCAAGTCAATACTGTGCTGATACATGTAGGCAATGGGTCGGCAGGATCCAACATGCAAATTACACTCATCGATCACATAATTAACATAGTGGTTAATTTCCTCGTTTACCGCTGAGGTTAAATTATTACATAACATATTTACATAATCACTGCCGCGACTTCTTATAAATTCTTCTGCTCTTGCAACTGAATCCAATAGAGGCTTAATTGTATTGTTAAAGTCATTATTGTTTCTTGTTATAAGTTTGTCAATTTTGATCAATCTGGTTTTTAACTTTTCCATGTCCTTTAGTATATTTGGTTCAATCGCTGCAATGTTGTCTATGTCTAGCCCAATTTTCCAAAGGCTAGGATAAGTGGACCATAGTCTGACTTTCATATGTTGATCATGCTTATCTAGTGGAAAGAAAAAATTTCTATTCCACTGATAGTATTTCGGTTTAAATTCCACAAGCTTCGAACTAGTTAATTCTGTGCACAAATGTTCTGTAGCTAATCTGCTATGATAATTAGACAGATTTCCGGTATGCGCCTTATTAATCTTAATTATATCATTATCCCTTAAGACTTTTACGTTGCTCAGATCAGCAGAAATTGCCGCTGCCGCATCGACCGTCGATATATTGCGCGCAATTTCTCCCTTCATATTACTTAGGTCAAATAATTCATACTCAAGCAGCACATCAAAAATGGTTTGATTTTCCTTGCATGTCCTTGTTATGCTTGGCCCCTGTGGATTTTGTTCGTTTGCCTTAGGTTCAATCACACGGAAGAGACTCCGTCTCTCCTCATCAGTACGGGGTATACATACACCATAGTACATTATCATTCCCAATAAAAAGTAAAACAGCATAACGAGCAGTAGGAGCGATAAAAAGAAGAATATCAGTATAATAGCCCTACAAAAAAAAATAGCGAAAGAGAGCGACAGAGACAGAGAAATAGAGGAATATAGAGATAAAAAAGAGACAGAGAGTTTTGTTGGCTACTCACAATAACAAGCATTTGGATCCAGTGTTATCTCTTCGAATACAACAGCCAAAAATAAATGCAACAAACAATATGACGATTATCTGGAACGGAACGGCCAAGGAATTCAGTTTGTCAGGAAATTTATAAAATTGTAACATATATTCATGTTATAATTATGAAGCTTTTACCCAGACATTGCCTAAAATTCCCCTTCGAGAGCCGCAATATATTTTAAATATTGTCTATATATACCTAAGATATTAAGACAAGTCTAACAAACTTAAGGCAAGATTTGCTATAAGCATTTCTTTTTAACCATTTATCACAACAATAGCCACAGGTCCGAGACTTATAGAAGCTTTCTTATATACAGTTTTTAAAGATATGCTTAACCATATTTATGTCTTACCGCTAATATTAGTAAAAACAAGATGACGCTTATTATTTTCCGATCAGGTCCGTATGAATCATTGAAATCACCAAAAGATTTTGTGATGCGCGCATTTTGAAAATAAATATCACTCATTATCGAATTGATGATGTCGCATACTTTCTCGCCCTGTTCCTTGATAGTTATACCAACTCTGCCAATCTTTGTGATTAATGGCGGAATCTGCGGATTTACGACATCCTCGATCATTTTGTTGACTTTATGATAGCGTTCTATCCCATTCCTTGCTGCTAATACCACCTCTTGTTCTATAATATCTTCAATGGCCTCCACATAGTGTGTAATGTTCGGGAGCTGGAACGAATCGAATCGAATGAATTGCACATTCTCATCTTAAATCATACCCACATTATCCACGTGCAGACAGGGCTTAGTACCCCACTTCGGAATTTTATTTGTCCTAAGAAAATTATTGCATTCATAGTAGTCACACCAAACCGTATGAAGATAGGTAATATCACGCTTCATACCGCGCACACCTTAAATGTTATACGATAAAATAATCGTTAAGATACTTACTGTATAAAAGAGAAATCACATTTTATACAATTACCATCTCGGAACTGGGCCATAAGAAATATAAGCGAGTTCTTGTAGCTCTCCGCCCGTTTCAATAATCTTAATGCTTGCGGCATGGAGGAGAAAATAAGTTCTATTTCTGATAATGCAACTAGACCAGAACTCTCGGTAAGATCCATAAATATATGGGTATCCGCCTCTGCAAAAAATGCACAAAACAAACGTTAGCTAAACAAATAAGATTGATCTAGTCGGGAATGCCTGACTGAATGATATATGTGGGAAACATTTTCAAACGGGCTCGGGATGCAATTGTGGTCCCTACCATTTAGTGAAGCTATTAGATGCGTTTCCAATTCTTCAAAGTTGTTAGTGAACAAGTGATTGACATGATCACAGACATCCTTCAAAAAGGCGCACGTGTCATCGGCGTGGCGGTGCATGTTCTCGATGCTTTCTTGAAGTCCGCGATGTATTAGCTTTTCATTAAGGAAAGCTATGAGTAATCCCATTCTAAGTTTATGCCACATATTAAAATTGGCTAAAATGAAATATAACTTAACTTACAGTATTCCCAGAATGAGCAGCAGCATTAATATGCTGCAAAAAGTGCGTTTTGCAGCATGCGAACCTTCAGCACATGGTGGACAGACGTTGGGGCAATGGCAGCAGCAAAAGCAGAAATAGCAGACTCTGTTTATCGTTGAGGGAGCATTTAATTAGTTTATGTGGGTACAAAAAAAAATTTATGAGGAGGTCGGCTAGAAAATACCCTATACACAGCTGCTAAATTCGAATTGTCACACCTATACAATAACCATCAATTTGTTATTCGACATAAAAACTAAAATCTGTTATGTATAAAAAAGACGACCAAATTTGGTTGCTTTAGATGATTTGTTATTTGAGATACGCTCAGGGAAGAATATTAAATCAATCACTTGTGTAATTTAAACCTAAGTATTACTTACGCGACGAACGGTACGATAATGATAAGAAATAAAATGAGCAATATCCAGACGATCAGCAATTTGTTATTGGCAAGCAAATCCATCCAATCATTGGTCTCGACCTTGTTTCCAAGGTGCAGAGCATTCGAGTTATTCGCGTTCTCAATATAACCTATTATTTGATTATTTGATTAGATCAAACGGCAGCTGACTTTGTAAATATAAGTACCCACCTCTTGGTATATCGACGTCGTCTCCAAACATTATGTGTGTCAATTCGTGTATTGGGCTCATATACATGCTATGATAGGTGGGATCTACAGAATAGATAGGCTTAGACTCATACTTGGTAAAGTTGGTGAACTCAAAATGCCGGAGTCCTTCCTTGTCATTTAGCATGCCAAAGCCTAATTCGTCTTTATCCCATTCGGCAGTACCAACTGATGGTATAGTCGTATTGATCGCAACAACAAATATGATCACCTTGATAATGAATTTCATCATATGTCGCCATTTTCGCCTATTCCTGATCTTAGGGCACATCGTCTTGGAGACCTTCCTAGATGAACGCGCCATATGTATCATACTTGAGCTGTTACTGGCATGTCTTCCGTAATCGATCACATTCAAATGCCACTTTAAGCAAAAGCTAACTGACCAGACAAATAGGTTTTAGGCTAAAATGTATATATATATATATATATAAAACTGTTTGTCCTGACTGACTGGCTGACTGGCGATCAACCGTAAACCGTTCACCTCAAACTCATTTTCAAAGATATTTATTCAAATTCCTTTGAAGGTAGTCTCACACTTTTTGAAGAATTGATATGGAGGTGAAATAGTTGATTTCAAACTTTTTGCAGAATTCAAGCTGCCTCGCTGGAAAGAGGATTAAAGCTTTGTGCGATTTGCTCTAAGGAATATGTGCAATTTTGGGAATTCCACACGCAACTGTGGAAATAAAGCGGAAAACGATTGCACGCAACGTTTTTATTTACCATCGGCTCGGGCTCAAAATCATTGTCAAAGATGTTTGAAGTTTTTTTTTTTAATTCCTGTCGCTCTTGGTTGAAAAATGAGGGTTACGGTTCAATGGTTATACGTTGATTTTTCGCCTCCAATATTGTCACCGCAAGACTAAATCTTGCAAGGGTTGAAAGTAATTTCTAAAATTTTTAATTTCTGTCAAAGCCTGCCACGGGCAAGGCCGGCCCGCGATTACGTTTATGTGTAATTTCAGGTAGTTGTTAATAAAATCAGTCTTACCGACAATCTTTTACGGTTGTATGCCACTTGAGTTGGAAACCAGAAAAGTGATTGTTTTGGATCTTGTGTAAGACGTGGTCCCCGTCTGCACTTATCGACTGATTAAGTCATAAATTCTGAAATGCATTCACGAAACTTGAAAGTGTTGTGTGAAATTCGATGAAAATATCTTAAAATCAAATGTGTGTTTCAACAGAAGCACAAAGTGTTGTTTTCTGAAATAGATTTCAAAAACATAACAGTTAAATCAGAGAAATTATTTCAATGGACTGCAATTTCATATGTGCGATACATATCCCCCATGATGTATCTCCACTCGATTTTTCAATCAAACATATTATTTACTTGGCAATAAAAAATTAGTAGTTCCAACTTAACGAAATTGGTCATTTTTATATATACAATGTATTATATTAATTATTGTTATTATTATATACAATGATCATGTAACAAATATTGTTTGTATTGGAATATCTCCAGGACTGAACAAATTATTTGACCCCAAAATTATCGAGAATTGACGGCAACGAGCAGATCCAAATTTCCAGTGAATTAAAATCCGAACATCGTTAATGAACACATACAAATATAATAAATTAGATCCAAAAATTATTACTCTAGGAACTCTCTCAACGCCAGTCAATCAAACGCAGGAGCAATCACCATGCCCACCACCATGGACCAGCTTCAGCAGCTGAACAGCAGCCAGCTGTGCATCTTGTGCTACAATTATTACATTGCACCGCGTCATGTCGCAAATCTTAGTCGCCGCCAATTGGAGCGCCGTCTCCATGTGGCCATTATTGCAGAGCGTGCCAAATGGCGTGCACGCAATTTACTGTACAGCTTCCAGGGTAGTCAGCGCCCGGGCTATGTGAATGCCTGGCAAAACGCTGAGAGGCCAAATATTGGACATCGCGACCTGACGCTCTCGGAGTGGCGCTACTTGGCGGCGCATGAGCGGGCAGCCCGATCACAACGGTATAGTGGCGGGGATGAGCTGCAGGAGCAGCTGGAGCAGCTGCAGGAGCTGGCTGACTACCAGGCGGAGGACGAGCCCGATGTGGAACCCTACGAAATTCAGCAACAGAGCGAACCGGAGGCGATCACAAAATACTCATCCGATCACCAGATGCAGCCGCGGGAACAGAACAGAACGAGAACAGACTTTCCCCTTCAGGCATACACAAAATACTCATCGGAGCACCAGATGCGGCCGTCCGTACAAGACACTAACATTGCATTTCGGCCCATCAGAAGATCCTCATCTGAGCACCAGATGCAGCCTCCCGTACAGAACGCCAACTTTGTCTTTCAGGCAATCACAAAATACTCAACCGAGCACCAAATACAGCCGTCCGTACAGGACGCCAATATTGAATTTGAACACCAGCATCCGCAAATCTTGCTCACAGAGTATTACACGGACTGGAGTGGGGACCAGGACCCGGACCCGGACACCGATTACTTTTCGTTTTACAGCACTACAGATAGCAGGTCAAGCATTACTGTGGATGAAGATGGCGCTGGCACCTTGGAACCTTCGTCGGCGCATTGTGTAATGAACCAATTGCAAAAGGCTGAACGATTTACTGGCTGGGAGAGTCCTATGCAGTGTCCCAGTGTCCTGACGCATTCTGAACCCGAACCGAATATCTCCTCGGAGCGGGAGCTTTGCACCGTCAACTATCTCAGTCAGGACGAAATGACTGCGATCAGGAACACAAACAATTGCGGCCAACTGTTAAAGCTGATCAGCCAAACGCAGCTCCGCAAGGAGATCGAACTGATTGGCGATGCCCTGACAGCCAGAAGGATTCGCAGACGCCGGCGACCCGCCTTCTGGCGCTACCTTCTGAATTTGCTCTGTTGCAATGCTCAGGGCAAGCTGGATGCCCAGAAGTTGCGTTACACCATCCTCTGTTGTGCCATGGTCGTTTGCACCTATGTAGGCGTCAAAATGCTTCAATAAATTACGCCGGGCATGTTGCTCTTGGCTCCAGACGAGTACCGCCCTTTCTATTTGCAATATACACTGTTCTGAGTGTCAAACAGAGTATATACAATTTTTCTCTGCTTGATAAGACCTTGCAAGAACTTGCTGACTGTTCGATTGAGGTTAGATCGTGAGAAAAGTTAAATAAAACACCAATCTCTGGCGCGGTTATAGAACATGCCTGGAAACTGATGCTTTAAATAGCTCGGAAGTAATTGGCCAATATTTTTTTATTTTTTCAATTCTTATATATTTTCTTTTTACAATCCTGACATTCCATGTATTTTAACAGGGCCCAAGTCTGACATGAAACCATTCCAATGTTAAGGCCCTGTTAAATTAATGGTATTTCCGTTGAATATTAACATTGGAAGCCAGCTAGTAACTGTTCGAGGATAAAAACGCCTTGAAGAAAGCTTTTACCATCAAAGCTATGGCATAGCTATAATTTTATTTTCTATATATTTCGAATTGAAATGCTTAAAATGACGTCTTACTGTTAATGGCATGTTAGCAAATGAGTATGAGGCTGTGATTGTTTGACTAAAATGACTTTCCTGGCTTCGCTTGCATCACTCATACGCCATGTGCTCGCAGCAAGTGCCATTTTCAAGTACAAGACGGAAATGAAACTTTAATTATATTTATGGTAAGCGTCAGTAACAGATGGCAGGCACTGCTTGGGCTAAGTGCTGTGTGTAGCCAAGACAGCAATATTATGAGTGCAGATAAAATGGGATTGCATAAAAATAAGCCATTCGAATCGTCAGCATCGCAGCCAGTATTGCTTCTTGACTTTCCTCTACTCACCTTGGGTAGCAGGTGAGAAAATCTCATTGCTGTTGCACCGATGCACAAGCTTAATGACTTTTGGCAATTTCCCCAACATGAATCTGGTTACTTGCCTTCGTCTTGCCAAAAGCTGGCGACGACTCCTCGACTTCCGGGCCAACCTGCTGCTGGCGCGCTGTTTGCCATAAATTTTCTAAAATGTCGTAAACTCTGAAAAAACCAAACACACACACACGCACACTCTCATTATTTGGTTGCCAAATAAATGGATCGGATAATGGCATAGAGAATTGGGCGCTTCAAGTGACCGTTTCTATCGACCAACAGGATTAAAAAGTTGCTGGCTTAGGAAATGCTCTCAAATTGCTAAAGACAAGTGAGAATGTGGTCGGGGCTGTTCTTTAAATTTCATTATTTTAAAGGAAAGTTAAGTTTTGCATAAGCACTCTCGTTCAATAACCAATTTAACCATAATTTTCTCAAAATTTCAGACAGTTGCTTATTGTAAAACGTATTAAAGGCAATTGGCGTAGCCGAATCAGGCCATAAATACAACTTTGGTCATAAAAATCAGAGTTATAAAATCATCAATTTAATTGGCCACAAATTTGGCTATCTAATTCCTAAACTGAGGACCCGTGAGCCTTTCCCTTTATCGACCATTACCTCAGCTCTGCACATAAAACATCTGGTTGTCAAGTGTGCATTGCTGGCATGGCTTGACTTGAATATACCCTGCAATAATTACATTATACTTTGATTTCTTTTTATTATAACTTCTTGCTCATTTCAATTTATTTTCACAACAGTGAGATAGTCTTATTATATTATTTATTTATTTATATACACATATGCACATATCCAGCTTTTTTCCGCATGAACGCCAGAGCGTTGTTAATCAGAGTCGGATATGTTAAACTTTTTTTTATCATACTGCTTTTTTATTGTCTTTGGTGCAGGGTAGCAAATGGTATTTTAATTTTTCAAGTAACCATTAAATGCCAAAGTGCCATTAACTTGGCTAGCCTAAACTTAAAGGCCCACTTATTTGACCATAAATTCAGAAGCTGCCTTGTTTCGTAAATGCAGCGAATAGATTTGTTAAATTCGGTGGGCACATTTTATTTAATTTGTCATCGAATGTGGTGTTTGTCAGGCAATTGAGCGTTGCGCTCCACTACATATTTATCTGGGGTCTTTTTTTCTAACATAACTCGTAGAAGTGTCCAGCTTTGAGGCTCTGCAACTAACAGTCCCAAAGTCTGGGGCCACAATGTTTCAGCCTGCTGTCAAAATTATTGTTACAAATGCTTGCGCTCGAGGCGCAACAACATTATACAAAATTTATTTGGCCAACGTGACTCTTGACTCAAATCTTTGTCTAATAGCAGCTACAGTTTGGCTTTGGCCTGGCTAATGGTTTTGCTTGTTTTGGCATTGCTTTATGGTTCGTTGGCGTTGTCCCTATCGCTGAAAGCCGTTCAGCATACTTTGAAGTTTAATTTTCTGGCAGCTCTTAAGCACCGTATGAACAGGGCATATTAGTTACGGACCTCGGACGTGACTTAAAAAAAGCATAAAATGAATAATTCATGTGAAAAATATATATAAAATACACTATGTTGAAGTGAAACTAGAATTCAACTATCGTTTATTGAAACTTACACAAATTCTTCAAAATGCACTTTCTTTTTATTGTTCCACAATAAAAAGAATTTTGAACTCTTAATTTAACGGTTATTTTTTCAAATCGTACCAAACTGTCTAGACTGATGATATCTGATGATGGTCTCATGTCTAATGGTTTTTGCCCAGCTTGTTTGTACAAAATCTATCAAACTAGTTGTATATTTACATTGTGCACCATGTCGTATACGCAATATTAATCGTTTGACTCTTGCGAGTGCCTTTGCGTCATTCATATCAAAAGTGTGAGCTTGCTCCCAGATACGTCGTCCGACCTTTTTAACAACTGAACTTGTACTTTTGCGGCAGCTTTCATCCCATCGAACTGCTTTTTGTCGCAGGCAGACTGTTATTCGATATTGATTGATTATCATTCAGTTTAAGTCGTCTGGCCTCAGTTGGTCTCCGATTGAAAAATGTATGTGCTCAAAACAAATTATTACAAATTTAATTAAATAGAGTCTTAGTTTTGCCAGTAGTAGTTGTATTAAAGCATATAGGAAAGAACACTTAAAAAGTCTGGTCGAAAATTCAAATTTAAATAAATCTATTCAAATTCAAAGAAGCAAAGTAAAATGAAAAGGATTCAGTTCCGATTTCTTGGTCATATATACAATACATTACTAGTTTTCGAGCTATCTAGATACGTTTTAACATAGATCCGTCTTATTGTCATCCCTAAATAATGAACTATATTATGCTTAAGGCATGTACAAAGCTGCACAAGTTGGTTCGCTTTGCTCCCAAATGACCATCGAATTGATGCGGTAAAGTCTTCAAATCCAAGTATCGAAAATTATTGACAAATGATTTTTGAAATAAGCACTTACATTCTGAAAAGGAACCTTTTCACTAAATCATACTGAGTCGAGAAGTTTTAGTACACTTACCTGCGTTTTAGAAGTCAAACGATTATAAGGCAGAATTTGACTGTAGATCAAATTCCTAGTCAGTTTGAAAAAAAATTTTGAAATGCTTAAAACAAATTTCTTATTGTTTTTGGCCATTGGCGGCTTATTTAGCGTAAGTTTCAAGATCCTTGGCAATATCTTAGACTTTTTTTTTATAAATAATATTCAACAATTTTTTTTTCCCAGTTGACTCGTGTAGACTATACAGCTGCTGCCCCAACGAAAAATGCTGCCAATGCTGGAAGTAAGATGTTACTTCCAACGGAAAGCTTCCAATTAACGCACACTGCTACCAATCAGAATTTACTTCCAATGGCAAGCGGCACCGTTAACAATAAGAATTTACTTCCAACAGCGAGTTCACACATAGCTGACACTGCTAAAAAGCAAAGTTTACTTCCAACGGAAAGCGTGCAATTAGCTGATAATTTAAAGAATCTGGATTTACTTCCAATGGAAAGTGTGCAAATAGCTGACAAATTGATGAATCAGAGTTTACTTCAAATGGAAAGCGGTCAATTAGCTAATCAGAATTTACTTTCACTGGCTAGCTCACAAATAGGCCAAATTGTGGATAATCAAATGAAAAATTTGGACACTTACAAAAATCAAAGTTTATTTCCAATGGAGAAACTACAAGTCGCCGAAAGTTCCAAAAGTCACAGATTGTTTCCAATTGAAAACGTGCCACAGCTTGCGATTCCAAGCGAAGTAAACCATGTCACACATAACGCAATGAAGTCGTTAGATGCAACAAATGATGATCTTCAAATATTTGGCACACGCTTATTACCGCTGGGCTATAAGCTGAAAGCTTCCGATTTGAGAGCCATCCCTTCTCAGCCGCTATTCAATTATAAGAGAACGTCTGAGGCTCGTATGCCGCAATATGATCGATTCGAAACTCAAAAAGCAAGGATCGATTATTACCGACCATTAAGCTCCTATAGGGAAAAATATTATATGAAAAAAGATGGGCGCGATTCTGATTTTCAGATTCCATATCTAAACTCGAACGACAGCGTGCCTCGAGAACTCGTCCAAAATTTTGACAATTTGCTTGCCGAGTCCGGCGACAAGGAAGAACCCGACAAAGAGATAACTATACCGTTGCCGGAGAGTGCTCACAACGCGACTGAGGTGCAAATGAGGGTCCAGGCGCGTGCAAGACAAAACTATTACCCAGGGTGTGTATCTTAAGTTTTCTTTTTAAACAATATATCGCGAAATGTATTTTATTTATTTTGGAGACTCCATGAAAGACTACTCTAGGAAAGACATGTTCACTTCACTTCACTACATTTACTGTACAAGAATGTTCATATATTCACTTTTCAATTTTATTGACGTACACAAATTTTTAACATCTCGTTTTTTTTTCTTCTATCCATTACCCATTAAAAAAAATATTTCAAACAAATTCAAAAATTATCCGCTCTTGAGGTTAACTTAAAAAATCTTTGAAGCACTTACTCATTTTTTTTTTTTTTTTTTTTTTGAAGTGCCTGAATTGAAATTATTAACTTCAAATGAAATTCACAACGATCTTTGAAAGTGAATAGTTAGTTATCAGCCAATTTTCCCGTACTTGTAGGAATTTGCGTACCAAATGTCATTCGTTTAATTTCTTGCATTTATCATATGCCCACAAAAGTTTCGCGCCATTAATAATGTAATAATTTGTTTAACCTATAGTGGAAAACTGGCTAACGTATGTTTGGGAAGATCGACTGTATATAATAAGCCCAGGGTAATGAATTGGCTTGAGAAAAAAGTGTACATGTATTATAGCACTGACGATCATAGCAATGATGTTCGTATAAGCCTTGCACAAGAGGTTAATCGTCCCATGTATTTTGATCTCAGGCTTGAGCTCTTCAAAAATGGAAAATCCGAGGAGTGTCACGTACCAAGCTTAGACAAATGGAGACAATATCTAGAATGCGCTCTAAGGCGCAACCAACGAATGGAATACATGATACCAATGTACCCTCTTCACCAAATTGGATATAAATATCATTGGTCGCGATCTATGGATGAAAGAGGATATAATAATTATCGATCATATGTACCAAGAACTGATTTTGGGAAAATGTGGTGGTACACGCCGTACCCTGGTTGGCAACAAAGCTGATATATTTATTTTATTATATATTTATTTTATCTGGTTATGCGCCCATCAAATCTCGGCTTAGTAATGCGAGCTATAGCACGCAGTCACAACGTTTCCCAAAATAAAATACTAATAATTAGGCGCAAATTTGTCCAAGAGCGTAGTTCATCAGTGATGTCATCTGAGCACTTTTTGCTGCTGCTGCTGCTGCTGCTTGCTGATGTTTGTTATTGTTATACCTGCTGCGGTAATAGTTTTGAAAGTTGTGTGCGGTTTTCAAAAGTTTGGATTTTGCTGTTTAGTGAAGTCAAAATTTACCGCCAACGGGCACAAACTTGACAGCTTAATGCTTTGACTGCCTGAGAATCAAAGCTTGGTATTTTGCTTTTGGCTATTTCATCGTTTGTTGCATTTGTGGTCTGCTTTAGAGCTCGCTTAAAACTTGGCATCAGCTTGAAGAACTTTTTATGCCAAGTCGCATTTTTAATCACACAAAAATAGAAATTTATTTATGCAATATTCATGATAAACGCTGCAAGTATATTCTTGATCAGCCTTATATTATAGCCAAAGTCTGTCTGTATGAAAATAGAGAAGCTGGAGACTTGAATATTTGAAAGTAACTCCTATTTAGAGATGTGCTCGGTTTAAGTTTAAGAGGCCATGCCTGGCACCAGCACGAGCCCCAAAAGGCGTTATTGAGGATGTTATAATATTGTCAGAAAATGTGTAGAAGGTAAAATTAACATTTATTCTGCATTGATTTAACCCCTATCCGTCCGTCAGCTTGTTTCTATGCAAGCTATTTTATTAGTCTAAGGGCTATCGTCTTGAAACTTTGCATAGGTCGGTCTTTCTCATTTACTAGTTTCACTATGAAAGAAAGCTTTTCAATATGAATTAAGTATATCCTATAGCTTTAAGGAATGACTCGCTCGTAAGTGAGTTTTTGTGTAACAAAATATTTCATTTTTCAAGACAGTTTAACCACACTCGTGTCTATGAGTTTATTTTATCTAATTTTAATTTTAGTTTTTCGTACTCTTTTATAGTTTCTGCGACGAAATTCTTGATCTTTTTTATTTAGCAAATAGAGCAGCAAAAATTCGATGCATAAGTAAAGAATGGCGGGCAGACATACACATACATACATATGTACATATCATATTTGGCGATTATCTCTTTATACATACATATGTGTGGGTCTGTACTCTCTGTCGTTGCCTATGCGTTATCTACCTTTGAATGGCGCTCAGTCGAGTTTATGGTTTGCTTGCTCAATTTGCTGTGCGCCGGTTTTTGTCCACTTTGCGTCTGCGCATCTAAATTCTGTTTTAGTTGAACGCCAGCAGTCGGGCAAAGCTGTATAAATTGTAAATATATATATTATAATTAAATATATACCGTTCGTATAGTGTAAGTTGTCGGAGTCGAATGGATCAGGTGTTTTAATTGTCATTACAACAAAAATGGCAATAGTTACATCAAAGTTGCAAAATCTGGACAAGTACGGATATCAAAATTTAAAGTGAGCGTTATAGACTTTTACAATCATAAATTTCTAGAATCAGACTTAATTTACGTATAGGCAGCCATTGAGTGTTAATAAGAAATCAATAAATATTTCATTTTATAAAAGAAACCCGTAAGCAAAAAATTTACCAGCATGCATACATGTATAAACACATACATCTGTACATATGTATTTGACTATCTCCTCGCATGCACTTATCTCGTGATCGTCTGTTTTGTTTTTTGTTCGCTTTTTGCCTTTGAACCCAGTAGTCAATTGCGCATTCTACAATTTAACTATAATGACATTTGATGCTTTTACTTTCAAATTGAATATGAATATATTTATAGGAATTAAATTTCTTGTTTTTATTCTATTAAATTTGAGATCTGTACGGACAAAGAGTGTGAATTGGCATGCTAAAATTCCAATTTGCAAATTTGACCAAATTTAATCAAAATATAATGGCATGCATTATATTCTGCATATATTGCAGAATATTCTGCAAATCTTGAATTGATTACTTTTATCAAACTTGTATGTCGGAATTAAGTTGCGCGAACGCAAAGTGTTTAAAAAAAATTGGCGCACAGAAAGTAGAGTGGGTCTTGCTTAGAGCGATTGCGTGTGTGCCCAATGCATACGTGGATAATGCAGGAGCACACAATATTCTCTCTGCATGCACTTGTTCAGGTGTGTGTTCGCTTGTATTTTATCTACATACGGCTTATGCATGGGGCTCTCACGAATTTTTAGTAGCGAGACTTGCTTAGTTTTCTGTGCGCCCATATTCTTTACGCTTAACGTCCACGCAGTCGTAAGAGAACGGAGAGCAAGTCTTGCTTAGAGATAAGAAATTTGTGTAATCGCAATGCATACGTAGGTTAATGCAGAAGCACGCATATACAGACGTGTACATACATATATGCCGATTTCCTCTGCTTTCTGTTTTATCTACATGCATGGCGTTCACGAGCTCATCTTGGGATCGTTATTCAGCCGATTTTCTGTAACCCCAGCAGCCGTTTAAAGCCCTTTATTTTTAAATTATTATAATTTCATACTCGAAAATGGTAGAACGTTACAAGATTGTGTGACATTTACGCCAGTTTTAGCTATTTAAATATTTTCGCAAATATTATCATAAAACAATTTGAAAAATCTGCAGACTGTGTGGACTGTAAGCGCACACAAAACAGATCAAGTCTAATTTAAAGTAAAGAACGCATGTGCACACACCTAAATATATGGAGATGCCGTCTGCTTGTACATGTTTTTGCTTGTGTGTGTACTTGTACGTACCTATTTGCGCATGTGTGTGATCGCTACACAAAACTAATCTGCGTGAGCGGCCCAAAGAAACGGCACACAGAAAAGAGAACAATTCTTGATGCTGCTCACAAAAGTGCGGGAGAGCCCAACGCATACATATACACGTGCACTTGCACGCTTTTGACGACTCGCTCTTCATGTGTCTGTTTATGCATGTGTGTGATTGCATGTACGGTCTCTAGCTTTGAATTGCGCTCAATCGTATTAATGGGCTGCCTACTCAATTTGCTCTCCGTTGGTTTTCGTCTACTTTTGTTGCGCTCAAAATTGTTGGCTTTAGTTTAACGGCAGCACTCGAGTAGAGCTGTTTAAAAATATTATACGTGAAAATTCTTGCGTAAATACCTTTTAAATGTCATAAAGGTGTATTAATTTCGGACTCGTACGGATCGCGTGTATCATTTGAAATTTGAAAATATTCGCTTATCGAAAAAACATGTAATTTTTCATTTCGTAAAATAGTTTGTGAGAGGGCGATGCATAAGAATATAATACACTAGGCATAGACACATACAAATGCACGTACATATTTGGCGATTATAATTAAAGAGAGGCCGATGCATGAGAACATAATACACTAGCAGGCAGATACACATACATATGTACGTACATATTTGGCTATTATCTCTGCATACATATGTTAAGGTGTGTGTTTTCTGGAGTGATATATACTTATGCTTATGTGTGTGGTTCGTGCGTTATCTAGCTTTGAATCACGCTCACACGATTTTTGTTTACTGCGTTTCGTCTCAATGAAGAATTTATCTTGTAAGCATCAGCCTTTGGTCACCTACCTTTGCATCGCACTCACTCAAGATTTTAGCTGCTCAATTTGTCGACTCTGCCTTCGCGCAGCATAGATCTGATTTAGTTAACAGTCGTCGTCGGCTGTTAAAAACATTTTGAGTGAAAATTATGGTATACGTATTCGGACTTGTACAGATCGATTCAAATTAAAACGAGTCTCAAACGGTATTTCCTTCAGAAGTTGGACGTAATTTAACCGATATAAGTTTACAAAATACGAATTAATTTTTATTTTGTGTTTTTCAGCGCATAACAATAATTCGTATGGTTGATAGCTAAATGGCCTCTAAATCCATGGATAGACACTTTACAAAATATCATTCTAAATGTTGAGCAGAACGGCAAGTGGTTTGGTGCTGAAATAAATATGTTTAGTGTACTGCCAATTTTAGGGGATTTTCGATATGACGTATATTTTCAGAAACTAATATATTATTTTGGGTCTTTCAGTCGAATCTGCCATGAGCATGGACAACAATATATTTGGTACCCTTGGATGCCTAGATGTCCTATATATTATTGCTTATTCCATACCTTGGATAAACAAAAAATGTAAAAAATCGTATTCTAAAGTTTTTGGATCTGTTATAAAATGAAAATTGTTGATGTTCTTTCGATTTAAAGGACTTACACGGAACCTAAAAGGTATATCTTTCTAAAATCGGATGCTATTTGTAATTGTAATTATTTTAAACTAATATATTTATTTTTTTATATTTCAGTCACTTCTGCCACGCCCACGGGGAACATATAATAAACAAATAATCTATAAATTTGGTACCTAGATGACCTATATATCCTTGGTTATTCCATACCAAGGATATAGTCCTAGCGAACCTAAAGGACCGAGCTATTGCAAAATACGCAATACCATGGTCCAAAAAATTTTTTTACAGCCGCCCCCACCATCAGCCTTGCCCCCTGAATGGCTCCATGTTGACTGTTTATCCTTGGTTATTCCATACCATCGGTATAGTCCTTGGGAACCTAAAAGACCAGATCCCTGCGAAATGTGCATTGAAATGGTCCAAAAACATGTATGCTTTTTCTTTCAGCAGCCCTTGTACACGAGCTACAGCATCAGCTGTTGCTTAACATTCGCTTTTACAGCACTCTTATTACATGAGCCATTACTTAACAGTACTCATTTTAAATGAGTTACATTTCTGCCCCGTGCGGGTATGCAATGAATATTTTTATTCGACGATTTTCGTCGACCTTCTGGGCATTTCTGTTCGCCTGGTATTTCGGTGAAATTTTAGTACAAATTTGGGACCCAGCCGCCGATGGGGGCGCCCCTTTCGGGTATGCAACAAACAAATTTCGACTGCAGAAAAATTTTGTCGACGTTCTGGGCATTTCTGTTCGCCTGGTATTTTGGCAGAATTTAAGAAAAATCTCGGCAACCAGCGACCGTCAACGGACGCCCCTTTTGGGTATGCAACAGATTTTTTTTTTTTTTTTTTAGAAATAAAAATAAACAAGAATTTGTCACATAATTTTAATATAATTATTTATTTGCGGTAAAATTTACAAATTGGTTGTTTTTTGCATGATTTTCGATTTTAGCATAAAATGGCTATATCTAGCTTAAAATACGTCCGATCCTGGAAGGAATAGACTCGTTAGATTCGTAAATGTCCTTAAAATCGTTTGGAGTCCTAGAATCCTTCAACCTGAAAAGATAAAAGGGAGTTTTATTTAAAAATGTCATAAGAGGGATATAAGAGTATTTAGGGAAATAAATAGCCATAACACGGCCATATCCTTGCAAATTTTCAAAGGACATAGTTCGTTAGGATCGTTCTGACCAGCTGCACCGAGCTGCATCAAAATATTAGGGGGTCATCTAAGAATCCTGGACTTGTCATTTTTCAGTCGCGGGCCGCAATGAAAATTGACTGAAAACACAGTAAAATCAGCAAAATCGTTATATCTCTGAAACTACAAGGACGATCTTGATGTCCTTTGGCCAGTTGGTAGGCCTGGCCAGTACAATTTTTTTGACACATGTCCTATCAGGATACGCAAGGATATAGCCGAGTAATGGCCTATTTTCTTTATTAAATTTTGTCCTTAAAACTTCTTTGTTTGAAGGACTTTCGTCCTTCGGGTTGTATATTCTTAAATGGAAGGATGAGGACTATCTGCTGTCCAAAGGACATCCCGATAGTCCTTCAAATGGCGAAGTTAGTCCCGAATTTTTCGATTTTTGGCCATTTTCTGACTAAACCCCTGTAATAAATTTTGATGAAATTTTTTGTCGAATCCTGGAAATCCTTGAATGCCAATCGATAGTGCTGCTTCTCACGAGTTCGGAAAGGTATATCCTTCTGATATCCTTAAGGATATGGCCGATATATGGCTATAAAAAGAATGTCCTTTTCAGAAAAGTAGTCATATCTCTGCAACCAGAAGGACGATTTTGATGTCCTTTGGCCACTTTATGGTCCTTATCAAAACGGATGATTTGGCGTAGGATTTGACAGGATATGCAAGGACACAGCTGAGTTCTGATCTTTTTAATGTACAAAATGAATATCCGTATATCTTAGCCGTTTGAAGGACCTTCGTCCTTTTCATTATATATTCTGAATGGACAAGACAAGGACGGTCTGACGTATAAAGGACAAGACGAAAGTCCTTGAAGCGCTCAAGTTATGGTCACTTTTGCAAAAGTATCCTTTCCAGAAAAATGGGCATTACTCGGCCATATCCTTGCAGATTTTTAAAGGACCTGGTGCGTAAGGATCGAAGTGACCAACTGCATCGATCTGTATTAAAAAATGACGAGGTCTTCTAAGAATCACGGACTTGGTAAAATTTGTCGCGATGCTTTAGGAAATAGACTGAAGACAAAATTGTTGATAGCTTGAGAACTACACGGACGATTTGGATGTCCTTTAGTCAGCTGGTAGTCTTAGTCAATACTGTTTTTCGACACAGAACTATTCAGGATTCGCCAGGATATGACCGAGCTATATGCTTATTTGTGTGTACAATAAGGTCCTTCCTGCGGGTATTGATTACTATCGTCCTTCTTAAAGAACGTTTTTTAATTGGAGGATGAGGACAGCTGACCAAAAGATACAGAAATCGACCTTTTGGTTTCCAGGATGTTCTTATTTCTCTGAACAGGACAATTGACGTTCGTGTTTACATGTATTTTTGTTTATGAAAAAATGTGTATTTGACAAGTACTATTTGTTATTTATAATTTATATACGAAAATACATTAAATTTCTAGCAGCACATTTTTTTTATACATTTTTTATGAAATTGTAATGCACTTTGTATGAAATTTAATACATTCATTAATTATGAGTCAGGGAGCAACGTCAGGGCGCAACATGTCCTACATTAACATAATATATGTTTGTATAGAGAAATTGTATTTCAATATGTATTGATTCCTAATGAGCATCAACTAACTATGTCTGGCGGGCTTATTACCATTTTCAATTTGATCCAAGCCAAATGAACGAGTACTTTATTTAACCCAACATGAGAATTTCAATACATTCGTAAGCGGCAAATATAAATATTTGCTTTGTATTTTGGTTTTGGGCTTGCAATGCACAATATGCCCTATACTTGTTGTGGGCGTGGTTTATTTATTGGTTCACAAGCCTGTGGGTTTTCAAATGGAGCCCACATGTTGTTTACTCAGGCAGCGGTTCCTGACACTTTGGCCTGTACTCATTAATTACATTGTCAATAGATAGAAATAGCCATGGTCGTGTGATTTGAGTGCGATTTATGAACAAAGCTGAACATCAAATTTATAGGGGTATTTGCAAAGCTCAAATTTCGTACCATGGTAATATCGACTGAACACAGTAAAAACGGATCGAGCTTAAAATTGATGATGCAAAATGTTACGTCAGAAGATAGACTTGAGTGGTTTCTTTTTGGAAAATAATAACAATCAGAAGATTCAAAGAAAGAAAAGGGAAAATTAGGCAACATTTCTAACAATCCCTTACAGATACAAATACTCTAAAAAGCAGCGAAATTTATATTTGTGCAACGGAGTTCATATTTTTATAACCGTGTTGATGAATCCTTTTTTTCCTGTATAATTTCCTTACTTAAAATAAAATTAATTTATTTTAAAGAAATTATATAAATATTAGCATAGACTTAAAAATGCAGATTATCTACCAATCCAACCCCCAAACAGAACTTTGTATGATTTGTAAGTACGATTGCCATCTAATAATTATATTATATTCACATACACTAATTAAAAACAAGAAGTGAATAAACACGCGTTTGACACTGGCTTTGTCCGTTGTGTATGCATGACATACGCTTATTTCGCACGCATATCACAAAGCCAACAGCATGTTCCATAAAGGGCTTCGGCACGCTCGCATATACAAATCCTGCAGAGAGCGAGTGTAAGCCGTCATCCACTGGTGCATACATTAAAGTATCAATGGCTTACAATAACAGGAACAGGCAGTAGAGACACGTGCATGCATATTATATGCATATATGGCTCACTCTTCTGGCACCAAAACACATTCTCAAATTGAAAACCGATGCGCGCGTATTTACGAGCTTAGCAACTGAAGCCGCCAAAACGGTTGACAGCCGCATTTAAAGTCGCTTTCAAACTGTGTTTGCACGCGTGTAAAAGCCTTGTAAATATTTGAGCATCATAAATGGAAAACTTTTGCATAAATAATACGCGCACATGTGTGCACATGCATCGAATGAGTACGGTAATCGAACAGACTTGAAATAAGTTAATTCCTAAAACAGTACAAAATCTCAGAGAAAACTTTATAACTGCGCTGCCACATGATGAGAATCTATTAAAATCAGTGAGAAAATTTCATTCTCCAAGAAACATAGTCAAATATGAAAAATTAGGCGAATTTGCCTGGACTATATGTAGAAGTATATCTATTTATTTTTGTTCTTAAATATGATCGAAGAAAAGTTAGGAACCAATAGCACAACAATTTATCAAACGGCTCAATAAACCGCCATATGCCATTATATTGCGTATACGCAGTGCAGGCCGGAAAATGTCATTGATAGGAGCAATTGGATTACGAGCATTCGAAACCATTTTCGCAGTCGTGGCAGCATAACAAATTGATAAATATCACAATAGCTGCTTTATTTTTTTATATTGTGTACATGTGTGAGTGTGTGTTTTTTTTGGTGAGGGTGTTTTGTTGTGTGGCTTTTGTGGTTTTGGACCGACTGTTTGTGGTTTAATTTCTGGGGATTTGCGCTGTTGCCGTAACTCGCACAATAATCCGTTAATACGCCCAAGCAAAGACGCACAAAATTTGTGGAAATGTGTGTGTTTTCTCTAGCAATTGATGTCATTCTGAGTTGCAATTGAAAAACGTACAGATTAAAGAACTTTAAAGGCGTCTAAAAATATTCAAAACTTGGGTGATTATTTTGAGGAAAACAATTACTTACAAAAATTATTACAATAAAAATTGTAAATGAATTATTAAAGAATATAAAATCGTTTAGAAAAAATGCTTTGGTAAATGGATATGCATCTATACTACAGGTTCTATGGTTATAGTTACAAGTTACAAGTTTCTGCATCTGCCCAACCATCATCGCAACCTTTAGCTGCACAAGGCAGTATCTCCAATGTTGCCCTTAGGCTATGCTGTCATATTTCTTACAGTAATACCGTCAATAATAATACCTTTAATACCAATCAACAATCAAATGGGACCCGAATCGAAAGATATTTTTTTATCGGGTGTTGAATTGTTCTACGAATCAAGCTTTTTTCATTTGAAGGATATATCTTGATATCACCGTATTTCAGTTAACCAAACTGGTTTCCATTGACTGTGTATTGCAGACATTCCCAGGTGTAGATGTTGTCAATTAATATCAAATATGTCACGTCAATTTGAGCTTGCCCAAAAGGGAAAATGTTCTGACAGGAAAACCAGCGCATGGCCACAACAACAACAACAATTTCCATTTAATGTTTTTCTTATGAGTCCATGCGGCGTATACTTAATCAGTGATACCACACACGCACACACACACAAACAGGGCTGTCCACTTAGCCAATTGAGAGACAATTTTCGATTCAGTTAGGATCCAATACATTTAACCCACTAATAGAATGGCACCTCACGCAACGCCCCCTCAATTCAATCAACCAACACGGCTTTTGGGGGGCTCTGTATGTGTATGTGTGTGCGTGTGTGTGTGTGTGTGTGTGTGTGTGCGTGTGTCTTGGGCGGGCGCGTTGATGTGTCTATTTAATATGCAGTGCCAAACACAAATTAAAACTCGGTTCCATATACACACACACACACACACACACAGCCACACACCAACACGTAATAACAACGTGGCAACAACTAACTGTTATTGTGTTTGTGTGTTTTCCGTTATTAGATTTCCCGTTGCTGACAAACTTCACTTGACGCCTGCGGCAGAAGTTACAACTGTGAATCTGAGTGTGTGCTTGTGTGTTTTCCCTATAGACTTTCCTTGTATAGCTGTGTGTTAGGGAAATTAAATCCATGACAAATTGGAAAAGGCTTTAGCCGAAAACTTTGTCTGTAGTGCGGCTATCGGCTTGAACCAGTGGCACGTGCTAACTTTGATTTCGATCGAATCATAGTTTTGAAACTAAAAAATACATGGCATAACAACATATTTTTTATAA